AAATTATATCACAATATACTCAAAAGCAAATGAGTATTTATGTACCATATATTTTTATTTTGTGAAATGGGTTTGTTACCCCCACCTACTGGATGAGAAAATGGAATTTGATAGGGTAAGGAAATTCCAGATGATTATATGGCTAATTAAGGGGCAGAGCTCAGATGTGAGCCGATAGCATCCTTGGTTCTAAAACCCATTGGTTGTCCGTGTGACCTGCTGTTGTCCACCTGCTAACAATGGAAATGTCTGGAATCGTGACAGAAAAGTTACGTAAATGTTCCTGAGAGATTCAGTGGGGAAAGCATAACCCTAAAACATATCCAATTAATATTCTATAAATTCTGGAACATAATTTTGTCACTTCTCATTAACAACAAATATTCTCCTACATCTTCAACGCTTGAGATGTCTGTAATTCCAGTATAGAGACTAGGAATCTTTGTATTACTGTCCTCAGTTTAATCAGTGCTGACTTTAAGGAGCTAGCAGTTCTGTGGAAAGAAAAATAAAAATTTGCCTTCCGCTTGTGGGCAAAGTTATAGGGAGCAATTTACTCAAATATGTGTAAAGTAAAATTTTAGGTGATTACTATGAAACTATGTATTATTCACAAAGCTTTAAGTGATTTTTGTATGTATCGTGACCTGCTGCAGAGTGAATACCTAAATGAAGACGTCGATGCTAGAGTCATTGAATATGAAGATAACCGGCCCCTCCTAGATATGTTTCTGCAGAAGCCAATGGGCTTGCTCTCCCTGCTCGACGAAGAAAGTAGATTTCCCAAAGCCACCGACCAGACTCTTGTAGGTGAGTTTTAAATCCACCGTGTCCGCATGATTTTATGAATGCAGTCATGTAACTCTGCATAGTTTTTTACATTGCTTTAGATTATCTGGGAAAAACAGCTGCCACAAAGTCTGCGTATCTGACTTTGAAGAAAAGGCTGAATTATTTAGCGATAAATTAAACAAGTTTGGATACTGTGCTTCTTATTTTATGGTAGAGTCCCAACCATAGAACCATAGGTTAGAAATGACCTTAGAAATTATCCAGCCCAAATTAGGACAGCTCTAGGATTTGAAAAGGAAGCTAACCAGCAGGAAATAAATTAATCTGTGGTGTTCTGTTCTATTCATTTATTTAATAGAGGCAAATAGCCTCAAATACCTTAACAACCTGTAAGTTTCAGTACATTAATAAATGTTCATGATAATAATCCTGAGTCATCAAAGAAAGATTAAATGTATTTTTTCTGTTTGAGAAAGCAGAGATGTGCATAATGTATTTAAAAAGATTACCATCCAAGATAGTTAAAATGAAAATGT